TGTTACAAATATATTATTTTTTTTTGTAGTGGGTTTCACAAAATTGAGCAAAATTCTCATACTTTTAAAAGCTGCGTCAAATTCCCTCGTGGTCTTATAAATTCAACGTCTAACATCTCAATCGTCCTTATTTAACGGTGTTTGATTTACACGCGCTCAAACTGCGAATAAATTTCAAAATATTAATTTTAAAACTTCTAAAATTTAAAATATATTCATTTATCTTATATTTAAGCCTTAAATAACATTAAAAAAAACTTTTAAAATTCGAGAAAAAATAACTATTTCTAAGTATATTTATTGTTTTTTTAGGTTAAATAATAAAAATAATGAGTATATTTGTAATTTCAAGTGTTTAAAAATAAATATGTTAAAACTTATTCGCATTTTAGGTGTATGAACGTTAAACACCATTAAATAAGAACGACTAAAGAATTTAAACGTAATGTTTATAAGATCACAAGAAAATTTAATGTAATTTTAAAAATATAAAAAATATTGCGTAATTTTATGAAATTATAAGTAGATTTTGTACAATTTAATTTTAAAAAAATAGTTTAGGTTCATAATTTTAAATAAATACTAAGAATAGGCGAATAGGCTCATTATTGGTACAGAATCCTGTGTCTCGACGGATATTTTAGAGCTCCATGGACCCCAACACCCAATTCATGCACATGATACCGGGACCACAATCCAATGGCTTCGATTTATCCGGTGTTGCAGTCCCAGGAGCTTTCAGGTAATAGCAACTGCTCTCCAGAACTGGAGACAGTACATTATTACTGTTGGGCAGACAGTGCACTTTAAAAATAGGTCCTTTTCTATTTCATGTATATATTATTATATAATAATTACTTCTTCCGCTGTGTCCGAGAGTCTGTAAATATAAAAATTTAAGATAAATATAATTAATAAATAATTAAAAATATAATAGTAAAAATAATTATTTTATAATATAAATAATTATAAATTAAAATTAAAATAGCTAATTAATTTAATTATAAATTAAAAAATATAAAATAAAAAATTTAAAATGAGATTAAATAGTATAATCATTTTTCTAAAGAGAAAAATAATATAAGGTTTGAGACGAACAGAAACAACAATATGGACATGATATATGGGAGAAGGACGTAAGAAAAATATCAATATTTATTTATATTATATCAAACAACTATTCAAACTCAATTTTTTACTATTCAAAATCCAACCGAAATCTAAAATCCAGACACAAACACACTTTGTGTTCAAAATTTCCCACAGAGGTTTTAATGTATAGGATTTTAGTTGATATATATATATATTTATAGTAATAAAAATACTTCATCCGTCCCAATAATACTATTTTTGTCTGTCCAAAAACAATAGTTTTATTTTTATAAATAATCATATCACCATAAAACAACATCTATTTTTTCATTTTTATTACACAATTGCCACTATTTTTTACACTAATACACTCACAAGAGAAAAGAAGTCTTTTATCTATATTTTTTTACCAACTATCAATATAATATCAATATTCCTTAAATTTCGTATCCAACCCAATTAAGACTATAATTCTGAGGTGGACGGAGTAATATAAAAATATTTGTAAAAGACAAATAAAAATGAAAAATGAACACAATTTTAAGAAGTATTTATTTGATTGACTTTACATGGAGGAAACCAATGGCTTAAACTTAGGGTACGTTTAGTTTGAAAAAATATTGGTTATTATTTTGGTATTAAAATAATGTATGATGAAATATTTTGTAAAAAAAAATTGTATATATATTTTTAAAACACAAGAGTCAAGTAAAAATATGACATTTTGGACAAAAGAAACATAATCACTTGAATGTATTAATTCAATTGAAAAAATAATAAAATAAAATAAAATAAAATAAATCAATCTTCACACTTTTCAAAATATCATCTTATTATTTTTATAAAATTGAATCAACTTTGGATCCAAAACGGTCCCAAACATTATGTACATTGACATTAATTATCATTAAATTAAACCAACTTAATCTATAATAAATTTTATAAAATTTCTTGTGTTTTGAAATTTCTTTAGCGTACCAGATTGAATTAGACCCAATTTATTTAAATAATTCAAAATAATAGTAATTCAAATCAATGCTAACAAATGAATTTTAAACACAAGCTGCTATATATTTTGTACGATTTTTAATAAAAATATATTATTTTTTTTAAAAAAAATAATTAAACCATTACACTGTATTTTTACTTTTGATTATTTATTTGTTAAACTCAAAGTATCTATTTTCTATTTTAATAAAAATAATGGTATACAATAGTACTAAAATATTTTTAATTTTTACTTAGCCAAAAATATCAAAACATTTTACATTTGTCATTTTCTTTTGATTTAGACTACGTATTGATATAATAATTAATATCAACATACAAAAAGCTCATGATACTCTTCTTATTAGACAGAAGTATATTATTTTTTAATTTATTAAAAATATTCAAAAAAATAATTTGGAGTAAAACAGATTTAGTATATTCTAAAATATACTTCAAATTATTAAATTGGACCGGGCCAGACGTGACCCGACCCGACCCGACTTGACTTTAAAAGGCCAGGCCTAGGCATCGTCATGCCGGATTGGCACGGCTTGAAAAGAAATTGAGTCTATCTTTTGGGGTTAAAATACAATTTTCCTTTTTAATTTTTAATTTTTATATCGGTTCGAATCGAATTTTTAAACTGTATTTATTTTTATCGGCTATAATATTTGTGTGTTTTTGTCGTTATGCAAAACGATGGAGAAGGAGTCCCATGTGCTGTCCCCTCATTTCATACACTAAACCTTAGCTCTTCTCTTTCTGCTTCTACTTATCCACACCACACAATGTATATATATATATGTATATATTTAAAAAAATTTATATTATTTGTCAATAATAATTTTGCTATAATAAAATATTATTCTCTCCGTCTCTTAACAATTTATTCATTTTTTCATTTCGGTCTGTTCCATAATAAAGTATCAATTTACTTTTTTTAGTAATTGTAATATCTACCTAATATTACAAATATTCTTTCAATTTACAGTATATTACACAAATGTTATTACTTTTATATTATACCATACTAATAGAATTAATTTAATCATTTTTACCTTTATTTCTATTTTATTTCAATATAATACTATATCCGCACAATCTATCAGTTTAATTTTTGAATGTTAATATTTGAATATTAATTATTATATCAAAACGTAATACAAAACCAGGAAAAACGAAAAAAATAATTCTATTGGTGTCTTATAATACTAATGTAACGATATTTCTACAAAAAAATTATACAAATATAAAAATATTTTTAACACTAAAAATAATGACGCCAAATGTAAATGGATAGATTGGCGGTGGACAAGGGTAATACTAATATTTCTAAAACTTCGTACAAAAAGCAAATGAATATATAGATATGAGACGGAGATAATATTATACTAAATAATATATTTTTATCTAAAATTCTATTAATTTTTATTAAAAATATCACATTAAAATTTAATTATTTAATTATATTAAAATCTTTTAAGATTCCAACATTTTCAAACATCTATATATTATACTAAAATTATTGAATTCCACGTATTACTACGTGTAGAGTTCTAACAAGCTTTTATATATATATATATATATATTCAATAATTTAACATGATCCAATATAATTAATATCTATTTTTTAATAAAATTAATTTTGAGAATATAATAATAATAATAATATAATATATATATATTCAATAATTTAACAAGATCCAATATAATTAATATCTATTTTTTTGAGAATATATAATAATAATATAATTATGGGTTTATTTACAAGTGTTCTTTAATTAGGGTGCGCTTGCTTAAAATATTTTGGTAGAATTTTGCTATTTATTATTTTTTTAAAAAAAATTAAACTAAAAATTTATTTTTTTGTTTTATATATAATAAAAATTAATTTTATATTTAAAACATCACATCAATTCTACAGTATTTTTTATTGTTCAAAACCCAAATCTAAAATTCAAAGCTCCAACCATAGTATTTCAATATTTTGAAATCTATATGCAAAAAATGTGATATTTTGAACAATTAATAAATCTCAAACAATAATTTAAATATATAATTTTTTAGTAATACTTTATTATTTATGAATAATATGAAAATATAATGAAAACTACAAATCGAAAGAGCTTACTTTATTTAATTATCATTACATTTTTATTTATATTTGCTATAGGAATTATATATTTGTGAATAATAATAATAATAATAATAATAATAATAATAATATTCTAGACTCAAATCCCAACATTCACTATCTCCCAAAGAAGTCTCTAAGACCCTTATCTTAATTTTATTTATTTTCAAGAATTTACTATTTTTATTACATTACGTGTCATCAATTTTGTCATATAATTTTAGATAATATAAAAAGTTAGTTATTCCAGCTATTTTAGTCATATAATTTATTTTTATAATTTTCTAAAAATATGTTTGTCGGTTTTTTTTTTTTTTGGTACGTATGATATGAGATAATCTTCTAACCGCACAATAGTATACAAACTATTATCTTCGGCGGAGGGGTTTACACTATGCGCAATTTTAGATAGTAGCTGCGAATTTTCATATTGGGGTGCAAATCCAAGTCCCACATCGGAAGTTGGGAAGAAAATTTCACACTTTATAATAAGTCCCGAGTGAATTTCACTAGTATGAGACCTTTTGGAGAATATTCAAAAATAAATCTGTGCGGGCTCAACCCAAAGCGGACAATATCGTACTAATAAAAAATTGTGTAGATAATATAAAAATAATGAAGGTATATAATATATTAATTTTTTTTAAAGAAATATGTGTTGGAAAATTTTTGTTAAAGAAACAAGCCTAAGTATGTAAATTATATATAAATCCCTAGAGAGAAAGAATCAAACTTTATGAAAGTAAATTTGACCAAATTTGATTCTTGATAGTTCTTAGATGAGCTGTATGTATATGTATATATATATATATTGTGTATGTATATATGTATGTATATATGCCCTTGAACTCATTCTTTATAAATAAGTCATCAACACACAAAACACACTCTACAAGTCCTCATCCAAAATTTCCAAAAAAAAAATTTCTAACTCTAAAAATTTCTTGAATCCTCTCTTAAAGAAATGGTGTCAATTCGATCTGATGGCGATTCTGGTGCTCCACCTGAGTGTGACACTGAGGCAGGCCCGATCTTGATCTCAAGTTCAAGCTCGAGCCCGATCCAAAGCCCGGCCCGAATATCATTCTCGACCGAGTTTCTAGACGAGAGCAACTTCATCTCAATATGTCCCGATCGCGGGCGCATGGAGACGGAGCCCGTCCGAAATCCCGACCAATTCGAATTCCTATCGGGAATTCGGACGGACATGATGACCGCCGACGAGTTATTTCGCGAGGGCAAGTTATTACCATTTTGGCAAGTGCAACATATCGAGAAGCTCGATAAGGTTGTCCTAAAGTCGGAGGAGGTCACCATGCAAAGTGGTAAGGACGAGACGAGGATCGGATGGTTCCTCGACGAGGATCCGTCGCCGAGACCTCCTAAATGCACCGTTTTATGGAAAGAATTATTGAGGCTTAAGAAACAAAGGGCTAATTCTACTCTATCGCCATCTTCGTCGTCGTCGTCGTCATCATCAGGAAGATCAACGGTTGAGATTACATCTTCGGACGATCAGAAAGAAATTAGCACCAAGGATAAGATTGTAAGAAGAGTTAAGAAAGGTGTCGAAAGAACAAGATCCGCGAGTATAAGGATACGGCCAATGATTCATGTCCCGATTTGCACACAAGGGAAGATCAATGGATTGCCTCCGTTGTTTTCGTTAAAGAAATCGTCGGGGAAATTAGAGAGTATTTAATTAATTATATATATTCGGTAGAGAATAAAATTTTATTTTTATTTTTTTTAGTTTATTTAATTTTTTTTTCTTTTTTTCTTTGTAAGTTTCTTGTACTTTTGTATGTGTTGATTTATTGCTTTTGAATCGATTTTTTTTTTTTTTGGTATGTTGTGAATTTAATAAAAAATTATGTTGATTCATTTTTTAAGTATGATTCATTATTTTATTTTTCTAAGATCATGGACTTTATTATTTTCTTTTGGTACATTTTTTATATCTTAATCAAGATTAAATTACGAATAAGAAAATACTTAGATGACAAAAAATTATAAGGGATTAAAAAATACGTGACGAAAAAAATAAAAAATAAATTATATATATAATTAGTGCATCAATCCCGAACCTTAATTCAAGATCTTAATACATTCATAAAGTCAATGACAATTTATTGTCATGAATTAAAGTCTTTTTGTCGATAAAACATCTAACAGATCAATCGAATATTGATTAATGCGTAATCGAACGAAAACTATTTGAAAGCGGCCCTTCTAGTGAGAAATAAATGAAAATAATGCTTAGTTGTAATCTTGATTTTATTTTCACACTATAGAATTTATGGTAACATTTATTTTCTATAAAAATATCATATTCAATTTTTTATTTTAAAAATATAATTCCAAAATAAACTAAACACATCCTAAAATGTTGATTATTTTTTTTTTTTCTAAAAAAATAAAAATAAAATTGTGATTAAGTTTGTAGAGATGATTAGGGAAACATGATGCACAAATTATGGGGATTCCATTAACTTTATTTAATTTATTATTATTATTATTTGGAAAAGGGAAATACTGTTTGTTTGGAGGTGTTAATATGTTATGATGAGAGGGACAAGTCATTGAACCAAGTTACTACACAACTGCTTTTATTATATTTATTTATACATATATATATAGTATATATTATTGATCATGTGTTTTGTCTTTATGGGGACTTGTAATAAATATTTATATATATACATACTCTTTTTGTCCCGAAAATTTAGAATATTTAGTTCCGGTGCAAAGATAGATAAAAAAAAAAAAAAAAAAAAAAAAAATTATTGAAAAATAATAAAAAATAAAAAGATAGTTGAAGATATTCTTGAAATTTAATTAAAAATAATAGTATGTTTCTTTATTTTAATTTTTTCAAATTTTACTCTTTGAAATTTTGCGCTTTTCGAAAAAAACTACATTTTTTTTTCTTATAAAATATCCCATCAAACATTATATTAATATCAAATCTAAACCAAATTTTTTCAAACTCAACCAAAAGAAACACACAAAAATTAGAAAAAAAAAATAAAAATAATGACATTTTGTACAAGTAAGTGAGGATAATAATTAAACGTTAATTTGTTAGTTTTATTAAAATAAGTAATAAGATAAATTTAACCAATAAACTAAAAAAAATAAAAATAAATTTGACGGAAAAAAGAAATATATATTAAAAAGAAAAATTGAAATTGAAGAGGACTAGTAGGCCCTTCGCTGAGAATGAACAATCATAGCCTCTTCTAAAGGACATTTCTATTTCAATGTTGCTTCATTAACTCATTTTTATGAGTTAAATGGTGAAACAATTTTCCTATGTAGGCTATGATTTGAATTCAATCTCCAATAGGTGTATAATATTACCGAGTCAATTTAATACTAGTATAATCTTGTCTATTTTGGGCTAAAATATCGATTTATTTTTGAATGCTTCTACTAAGAGTCTATAAGTATGAATTTTCCTTCTATTTTTGGATGTGGTAGTTGAGTTTGTGTCCCAAAGTAATACTCCCTTCGTTCCGAAACTATAGTCTTAGTTGTGTTGGATACGAGATTTAAAATGTAGGTAAAAGACATTTTTACCATTGTGAGTGCATTAGTGTAAAAAGTAGTGACAATTGTGTAATAATAATAATGAAAGAGTAGGGGTAGTTTTGTAGTGATATGATTATTTATGGAAATAAGACTATTGTTTTGAGACGGATAAAAATAGTGAACAAGACTATTGTATTGAGACGGAAGAAGTATTCGATTTAAATTACTCCCTCTGTCCCAAGTATTCAATATTTCTATTTTGATTTGTCCTATATAATTTGTTAGTTTTTAAGGAATAATTATACTACTTCGATTCTAAGAGTCACATTTATATTTTGTGTTATTGTATTTAACATTAAAAATATCTTTATATTTGTATAATTTTTTTTTTTTGTATAAATTTCATTATATTAGTATTATAAGACACTAATAGAAGTATTTTTACAATTTTTTTCTTAATTTATACTATATTTTGATATAATAATTAATCTTCAAAGATCGACGCGCAAAACGTAAATAAAATCCTTAGAGCCAGACGGCAGTAGTATATTTTAATCATATTTTAAATTTTATAATCTATAATTATTTCTATTATATAATAATTATTTTTATTAATACACAATTTCTCGTTAAATACAATTTTCTAAATGTAAGACGATTATATACACTTGGGGTGTGTTTGATTGGAAGTTTGGATTTTGAGTTGGGATTTGAATAGTAAAATTTTTGAATTTGAATAGTTGTATGATGTGAGATAAATAGACGTTGATGTGATGTTTTGAATGTAAAATTGATTTTTAATATAATATAAAAAATAAAAAATAAGGATTTGATTTGATATTTTTGGGAAGAAAATTTTGGATAAATAGTAGAATTTGGATGAAATCCTACAAACGAACCCAAGGGTAAATTATTTTTACAAATGCAAATGAACTATTTAGATGGAATGAAATGTAAGACGATTTAAATGAGAGAGACTATTTAACTAGAATGAAAAGAGTATTTACTAATAAAAAAAAAAAAGAAGCTACAAATATTTACAAATTGAACCAAGTGAAAAGTTACACGAAGAAACATTCGATACATAATTTCTAGGAAAAAAAGAAAGAAAAACTTACTTAAAATTATTTTTTTTCGCGACAAACCTTCGAAACAAAAGAACATCGAATAGATACAAAAGCGACTCACACCACAAACAAATCTTCGATGGACTATAGACATGGAAAATTTCGGGCAATTTTCGACGCCAAGCAAAGAATGACGAAGGGGAACAAAGGAATACTCTATGGAATCAACAACGGGTTCCCGGGACTATACCTAAGAAGAAAAGGGAAGCATAAAAACAATTAGCATGTGTTTTTCTAACACAAATTTTTTAAATTTTACTATTTCAATTATGCGCTTAAAAATATATATATATATATTTTTTCTTTTAAAAAAAATATTACATCAAACATTATTTTAGCTCGATAGAACTCACCTTATTATCAATCCCGGTTTGCTTTTGAGGTTGCTCGGGACTTGCCCCGTTAGGTTGTTGTTTTGCAAGAAACTAAGCATAGAAATCGCGTTAGAATCCATTCTTAAAAAAAATAATAATAATTAAAACTAAAATATGATACTTTTAGAGCAACGACAAGTGAGATATGTATTTACGTTAACACATTGGCATTTTTTCCATTTTTCGGCTAGAAACATCGATATGCAATTAAGTTGTGGATCACTGAAAGAAAGCTAACCTATATATGCACACACATGCACACATTATCAAGAAAAAAAAAAAAAAAGGAATCGAATTTATCCGTAGTGTTGAGTATAGAACTTACAGTTCTCGCAAATTTTGCAAGTTTCCTAGCGAAGGAGGAATCATTCCGGTTAACTGATTGTCTTCCAAATGCCTGAAGAAGACGAAAATGTGTCAAAAAAAAAAAGAAAGAGAGAAAACTTAGATGGATAATAATAAGGATTATTCGACTGACAAGATCTGCAATCCCTTCAATGAACTCATGTCCGGAATAGCACCCGATAAGCTATTGCTTCCAAGCAAGCTGTGCATTAGAAGAAATCATTGATGAATGAATTGTTGTGCATAAATTAAATCGAACAAACATGCAAATTACGATGAGAAAAGAGAATTTGGCGCACATTGTGTTCAGTGCTGTCATCCGGGAAATACTAGGCGAGATCGATCCTGAAATAGCCATGCCGGTTAGGTTCCTGCAGAGAAACCGATCGAAGATAAATCAAAATGAAAATCCTTTTGCTACAAATGCTCGGGAGTGTGTGTTTACTAGTGCTTTCGAACTTGTTTTCACATTATTTGTTCTAAAGTGAAATATACTTTTTTTTCCTTAAAATATTATATCTAACGCCCAATTTTCATTTAGAAAATTTAGGGGAAATACAATTTTGGTTCTTTAAAGAAGTTTGGTTTGTATATTTCTCATGCCCAATATTCACCCATGCCCATGTTTTTGAAAAAATGACGCATAGAAAATCTATATTCTCTCTAAAAATATACTATTTTTTCTAACAAAACATCGTAAATTCAAACTACTTTTTTAGACAAAAAACCAAAACCTAGGTAAACGCATCCTTAATTACCAAGAGTTTAAACAAAATGTATCTATTTTATTCCCTCCGTCTCAGAAGAGGTGTTTTTGTTGGTATAAAGTAGAATGTAAAAGACTAAAATATCCTTACTTTTTGAAGGATTTAAAAAAGTAGGTTAGAGTAATAATTACGAATAATTTGAAAAAGTAAGAATAATTTTGTTATAAAGTGGAAATCACTGTTACTAAATAAGAAAACATGACAATTGTTTTGAGACGAACAAAAATAGAAAAACAAAGACAATTCTTTTGGAAAAGAGGGAGTATAATATATAATATATATCTTATATGCCAACGCGCCTCCTCGCATACACCCCGGGATGTTTCTCACAAGCTCCTTCCATGTTAAGTTTTTTTTAATAAATGAGCGACCATGTTGATTTGAACACAAAACATTTCCAATGTAATAACATATAAAGAGATCGCCATAGTTTCTACAAATCATCCTATATATCATTCTTCATACAAATATTATCTTTATAGTTTCAATCTATTTATTTTTATATGTTCGATGCAATTTTGACGTGATTCTACAAGCTCAAACCCGAACCTAACCCGATCCATTCGCACGATGATTTCAGATCCTCAAATAATTCAACTCCTAGTAAAAACAACAATGAAATTGCACAAATAGTAAGAACATACTCACAGGGAAACAATTCGAATCCGAGGTCCTTCAGAACACGAAACTCCAGTCCACGGATATTGATTAGGTAAGCACGGATCGCCATTCCAATCAGCCGGAGGGTTCAGAAAGCTTTTCCTTAAATTTATCATAGCAATCACTGCAAGAACAATAATTTGCCATCGAATTGATCATGCTACGCAGTTAAGGCTCGTCGCGTAAAGTTTTAAAATAAGTTAACATACCATCACGCGCGAGCGTTTTCCCTCCAGCAGGAATCAATCGAAAAACCTCTCCAGCATTGATAAGAGGGCCAGCAGTTGATCCAGGAGACGGGCTCAGGGTCAAATTAGTATCTCCGGAAAGAGGCCAATCGTTTGCAAAAACGACGACTCCAGCTGGAGTTAAGCTCAGGTTATTGTAATATGCAATGCCGTTTATGGTTATGTCTAAGATTCTCGCGCTCCTGGAAGAAGACGAAGTTTGGTCATCCGCAAAGTAGAGCGCAATGTAATAATGTTTGTCGCTTGGTATAGACTTCATCGGCCAAAGTAATGTCAGGGGTTCGGGCAGGTTTCTTGCCAGCCGTGTCTGAAACAGTTTTGGAGGGGGCAGATTCCAGATTCCGGAAAGACCAAGATTTTGAGAAGTCGATTGAGGAAATGCATCTCGTCCATATGGTTCCCAGTAGCGATTGAATTGGTCATCGGGATATCTGGCAAATAGCAACATTCTTTTGTTAGATAGAAAATCGAATAACCAAAAGAAATTTCAAAAGAAAAATGTGCTAATAAAACACTTACTAAGCAAAAAAAGTCTATCTAGTCGAACAATGTTATTGATACAGATCGAAACAAGCTAACTGCACGCTGAAAAGGTTTTTTTCCTAAAAGTTATAATCGATCTCTATAATCAACATAGCAGTCATCGGGTCGAGTATCAGCTATACACATCTTATCAGACTCAATTCATCGAGAATTTTCAATATTAAAGAAATATATTACTCTGCCTGTTCGGCTCTAAGGGTCTCATTTACCTTTTTGCATCATTGTAGTTAACATTAAAAATACCCTTATATTTGTATAAGTTTTTGCACAAATGTTATTATAATAGTATTACAAGACACTCATAGAAGTATTTTCGTCTTTCTTCCCTTGATTTGTACTACATTTTTCATATAATAATTAATATTCAAATATCAATACGCAAAAAAAAGTAAATGAGACCCTTAGAGCCGGACGGAGGTAGTATATCATAGACAACTAAATAGATGACGGTTAGGATTCGAATTTGAAACCATGTTAACAACCAAATTATAAGAATCCGACGTTATTCGAATGTGAGTGTCTACCGAAAAACAAAATAGCAACTTTAGCTAAAAAAACAATTAAAACAACAATAGTAATATCTAATCTAAATTATAATCGTCAAGAATCCGCAATATTTCTTATAATTAGAGTATCTGTTTAGTATTTCAGTAACATGATTCCCTAGAAATATTACTAAAAAACACAATATATACATATAAAAATAAAATTCAACAAAAACACACAAAACATTATTTCCTATAATACTTTCACAATTCACACATTCGCATTCCTAATTTCGATATACTACTTCAAATCCAAGAATAACAAAAAAATTCAAGAACAAACACGTTCAAAAAACTCACCCAATCACCGGTCCATCGTGACCAAAACCATTCCTCGCCATCAAAGTCATCGCATTAACTTTAAAATCAGTCGAATTGTACAGCTGATCCAACAATGGCACAACCTCCAGCGCAGATATGAAAGGATCAGAATCCGTATATGTATTTGCAGCCAAACAAACGCTCAAATTCTTCCCAGCTGGTAGAAATATTCCCTCGTAATAACTCAAATTTCCAGCAGCATAATCCTCTGTGGTATTGACAGCAGTCCAGAATGTTCCATCGACCATAAGATCAAAAACCGGGGGAAGATCATTCCCATTGACTCCTCCATAGTAGTAGGCTGTCCTCACCATGTATTTTTTTGTCCGGTCCACCGGAACTTCGTAGCAAAACTTCTTGAAAACATTCCCCTGCAGAGGAAATGTTCGCACAGTGGTGAGTGTTGGCAGTAGGCCGTATATTGGGACAACCTTGGATTCGCCGGCGGAGATGTAACCACTGTCCGGAACCCATTCAACGGCGGAGAGTGTCGAAGAAATGCTCGCCCCGCAATCAAGAAACACACCTGGACATCATCACAAATTATCCTCAGGCAAGATATGCAAAATTTTTGGGTGTTTCTCTGTTTTCCTATACAAAGGACACGCCCCTTTTTTATTTAGAACATCAAATCAAAAACTATTACATATATACTTTTGGAAGGTTTGCCACTATTCATCATCAACAATAGTAACTTATCAGAACATTAAAAAATATATACTCCCTCCGTTTCAACTCAATGAACTTATTTTTTACTATTTTTGTCTATTTCACTCAAAATTATTTATTTCTAATTATATTAAAAGTAATCATATCGAAATATCAAAATATCCATAACTTTTAAAAAAGAAAATGTATTAATGTGTTTACTTGTAAGATTTTGGTTAAGAGTTTTAGTTTTAAATAATAAAATTTTGAATTAAAATAGTCGTTTGATTTGATATAAATATATATTGACGTGATATTTTGAATGTAAAATTATATTACAGTATAATATAATAAATAAAAAATAGGTGTTTAATTTGATGTTCTTTTAGGAGAAAAAAAAAAGTAGAATAATAAAATCAAGAGCAAAATTTTACAAGTAAACACACCTAAAAACCTATTTTCTACAAATAACATATCCTATAAAGATAAATTTTGAATGGTAAAATAGTTGTATCATATAAATATGTTTTTTGGTGTTATATTTTGAATATAAAAATAATTTATCTGATAATGTTATACATGAAAATTAAATATTTTATTCGAACAAATATTTTCACTATTATCAAGATTAACATTTTCTCTATCTTCAAAAACCATCACATCACACATTCATTTTCAATTTAATATTTTCTCCCTCCGACCATAAAGTAAATATTTACTTTTGGCACTAAGGTTAAAAATATTAATATTTAAATAATAACTTATGGTATTTATTTTTGTAAAGATTTTTATACTTACTTTGTATAAAGTAATGTAATCATATGAATTTATATGAGTATAAAAGTAATGAACTCTAGATCTACCTTTACTACAAAAAAAAAAATAATAATAATGTATTTTTATGTTAAATATGAAGAATTTGTGTCGAAAATATAAAAAATTAATATTTTATGTTGAATTGTTAAACTTTTTGTGAGTGAATGAAGGACATATTATATATATTGTGTTAATATATGTATATATTATATTTTTTTGTAGTACTTATAAGAAATCGTTCCACAAAAAATATGTTAGGTGAACAAACTTGAATTGTATATTATGTTTGGATTGGGCAAAAAGAGTACTATATTACGATCCAAAATTTATTTTTCATTCAATGTATAACTATAAACTCTTTAAACCACTTATTAATGTAACAATCAAAACAATCATTTTAATTCAGTACTTTACTATTATCAAAACACCAAATCACACCAAAAACATAACCAAATAGAGTAGGTTGTGTTTGTTTGTAAGGTTTTTACTATTCATGAAATTCTCTTCAACGTCAAATTAAATACGTATTTTTTTTTCGTTTTATTAAAATTTAATTTTACATTCAAGATATATTTATATCATATCAAATAAACATTCCAATACAAAATATGACTGTTCAAAATCCAAACTCCACTAACAAACACACCCTTATTTCCACAATCTCAAAAAGTCAAAAATCAAAACACTTCTTTCTTGTGAGGTTTTCATAAGACTTTTACTGTTCAATTAATCTTTTTCCTCCGAAAATATTTAAGTTAAACAACTAGTTTTCATTTATTTTTATTTTACTATATAAATCAATTTTGCATTTAAAATATAAATATTGAAATTCAAATATTTTAATACTCCATTCCAACACAAACTAATATCCCACGTCCAATTGTCCTATTTTATTTTTTAAACACAAATTTTTTTTTTTTTTTTTACTGTCTCTTGATTTACCACTTTTAATCTCTGCCTTCCTAGGTAAAATTTTTCCTTTCCTAACAAAAAATAAAAAGTAAAATCAATTACCTACAAAATTGTGCAAATATAGTTTATACTTTAGTACAATAGAAATTATACGTGTAGAGAGTATAATATTTTGATTAAAGTAAAATTGAACTGATCATTGTATAAACCCTAGACCACAAAATTGGGGAAAAAATTTTCCATTCTGAAATCAAGTTCAGAACAAGAAATCGAAGAACTTCAAAGGAAAAATCGAAGTCAAGTAATCAAGCATCGGCTCCACAATCAACAGAATTCAAACGATTACGAAAAAAAAAAATAACAGCGGAATCGAATCGAATCGAATCGAACTGAGCGGTAATTAAATCAAACAATAGAATCGAATACGCATGAAGAACCAATCGACGTACCTCTGAGCGATTGTGAAGTCGAAATCGGGAGCCAGAGAAGGAGCGCGAAGACGAGAGGGATGAGCATCGCGACGGAACCTGCCGAAGGAGTCAGACATGAAAGAAAGAGAGAGAGAGAAAATGGAGCTGATTTGGGGATTGAATGGGTCAGGTGGCGCTGCGGTTGATGAATTCAGCACGAAAGAGATGAAGTTGGTGAAGAGAAAAGAATAAAAGAATTGTTGACGCGGGAAAGGCAGCCATGGATGTCACGACGAGGTCGCGGAGAAGATTTCAGGGTTTTGGATTTAAGCGCCCAGGAGTTGAGGTCCCGAGTGTCCCCACGCCGTTGATGATGAGGGGTTTGTATTTGAACGGTGAGGATTTGTGGAGTGGGGGTTTGAGTTGTTAGTGATAGGTTTGCTGGAATGGTGTTTAGGGATCTGGTCAATGGGTTAGTTCAATTTAGGAATTTAGAATTACATAAATTATTAATATTACTATTAAATATTCCATTAGTACAATAAAATTATGTAAATTTCATTCAATATTAAAATTTAAAAATAATACTAATATTTTAAAATTAAAATTAATTGATAAAAATTATAACAAAATATTACAAAAAATTTATTAAAATTAAAATATTGAAAAAAATATTATAGTAAGTAAAAAAAAAAAAATACTTCCTTTTATTCAAGGTTTTTTTTTAATTTTTTTTTTACTTTATTATATCATATAATTACTTTTTTACGGAAAAAAATAAAAAAATAAAGATAAAATCATCTTTACGTACATTATTTGTCCTAAATGATTTAAAGGCCCTATGATAATAACATTCATTGTTTAGTGAGTTATACTCTTTTCGTTATCAATCAAAATTATATTACTATTTTGTTTTAGTTATTCATTAAATTTATTTATAATCTTTCTGTAATAAATAAATTTTATCTACTTATAATTTTATTATTCATATTTTAACAAGTAATAATTAATTTATCGTTATTTTTAAAAATTATCAAATCACCTTTTTAAAAATCATTTGAATAGTAAATTTCTTTTAATAAAAAAATAATTATATAATATAATAAAATAGATATAAATATAAAATAAATATTTAATAGCATAATATATAAAAAAAAAATAAAATCATTTGAATAGTAAATTTCTTTTAATAAAAATAATTATATAATATAATACAATAGATATAAATATAAAATAAATATTTAATAGCATAATATATAAAAAAAAAATAATAATATTTGATTTAATATTTTTTTAAAGAGAATAATTGCAAAAAACCCATATTACTGTTTTAGAATTTAACATTATTCTACTTGTGGAATTTTATACCTGATTTTACTATTCCGACTTTCTTTTTCCTCTCAAAACATCAAATCAAATACTCCTTATTTATTTATTTTATTACACTAAAATTTAATTTTACATTCAAAAAATCACATTAATACATGTTTATATCACATCAAACAATTTTTCAATTCAAAATTTTACTATTCAAAACCAAAACTAAAAACCATAATCTTATGAGTAAATACAAACACACCCTGTTTAAGAAACATCCTATGCGAACACTTATTTCATCTTACAAAACATCGCAACAAATACTCGGAACTTTGTACTATTTTCAAAAATTTTCAAAACTTCAAAGTCGAATTCAAATCATGCTACATAAACACGATCTTACAAAACATCGCAACAAATACTTGGAACATTGTACTATTTTCAAAAAATTTCAAAACTTCAAAGTCGAATTCAAATCATGCTACATAAACACGTATCATCAAAGTTCAAGCTTAATGAGTATAACCTTAAAAGAGCTTTCAAGTAGCTCGACTCGATTAACAGCGCTAAGCAAAGCTCGCACATAATAACTATAACCTTAACAAGCATTCCAGCAACTCGACTCGATTAACAGCGCTAATGACAGCAACAGAGCATACCTCGAGGGAGACAAGGATCGAATTGTTATCTCAAAGCCTTGTGTTTGAGGGAGGCGCGGTTGAGGGGCTCTTGAAAGTACTGGAGTGAGATAAAGATAGCTTCCTGGATTCGAAGAAAGTGATTTTAGAGTAGCCAGGATAAGTGTGATTTTTCGTTATATGGTTAAGAACATACCTCGGTCCGAATAGTCCGGCTTCCTTGGTGCGGACATGTGTTTAAGTACGAGTCAAATATATCGCGCACGGTTTTATCCTGCAAAAACAACCGTGTATTCTTTCAACTTTCATGCTCTCCTCGGACATGTAGTAATCTAAATGCAAAATTGTTTATAATCCACAAAGATTGTGTGCTTTTGTGAATTTTACCCAAATTTTTACTATTTTTTTTTTTTTTGTATTATACTACAAATTTATTTTACATTCAAAATATCACATCAACATCTCATTATATCACATCAAACAACTATTCAAATTCAACTTTTTACTATTCAAGAATCAAAACCCACAAACAAACACAACCATATAGTTTAGAAAATCTACATCATTCTATCTCATGATTTAGAAACTTCATCATTCGTGTTTTAGAAAACATTACATATAATCTTTTTTCAAAGAATTATGTGCAAAAATATTTTCAAAAATGCAATCGAGCATCACGCAATTTGTAAAGAATTTTGTGCAGTATTTTCTAAAACATGAAAGGAGTATGGTGCATCAATCGACAGGCATGTTATAAGCAATTCGCCTAATCTAAATGCCGGCTAATTATAATCCTTACGTACAGACATGACGATACCGAACAAAGAAGAGACAAAAATAATCAGTATTCCAAAATTTTTATAAAAAGAGTACCTTTATATTGCTGTCTTCTTCGACACACTCTTCCAATCCGGCAAGGCCACCAAAAGCAATCAACAGATGCCTAAAAAGGGAAGTGTTGTCAACGGAATAATAAAAGTAAGAACATATCCGATAATGAATATTTGCGAGGAATGTTAACAGCTACAAAATATGACACAATGCATTTAGCAAATTATAAACCTGAATGACGGTAGATTAAGCTCTGAAGAATTGATAACCATTCCGTGTTCGGAGGTGCCAATCCGGTAGTCATAGCCTCCCTTCAGCGAGTAATGAGTAAAATGACGATTTATATAGAAAGCTTCAAAAGCCGAACAGGCATCAACAGACATTACCGACCTTGTAAGGGCAGTTCTTGAAAATGGAGCTAATGTTGGGAGCATATCGTACTTTATATCCCCAGTACATTCCATCTTCCCTTGGCTTTGAAGGCGAAACAATTTTCCGTAATAGACCTGTAAATATCTGAGTTTAATCAACGATCAAACATAGCATACCTTAGTCTCACAAAAATTAGGATTTAGGAAAGCTACAGACCTGAATCTAGGCTTCGATTCGTTCCCATCTCTACTGTTACTCTTCTTCCTGGTAAAAGGACTTGATTGATCACTACATTCTGCATGAGGTATCGTTAGATTAGAAGAATTAATCAGAACAAGGCCATCTCAGAAGCATTTAACTAAGGCTTCGGTTCCAAAAACTTCTTAAGAATTTTATTACTCAGATTAGAAGGCCAAGCTATCAGAAGTTGTAGGTAGGAATATTTGTAAATAAAAGACATAATATAAAAAGAAAATGTTAATTGTGGGCTCTCTTAAAGAAAATCGACATATATTCTTCTACTTGTTAACAATAGGCACAAATTTCTATTTAAGGCATCTGGATCCGACAATATTAGTAAAATATGCCACCACCTCACATAAAAATACCAAAATTCCCTTTTAAACACAGTTTATCAGATTTGGGCCCCAACAAAAAAAAGGGTATTTTAGTCTTTACATTTGCACTCTATCTACTTAATCAAAGTGCATACCTGATGTGGTGCAAGGGGATGGGACCTTGCAGGTTTACCCTCGACGGAAACGGGCATGAACCCATCTTCCGTGGGTTATGGTTTATTTGAAATTTAAACTTCACATTTTAATTTATTGTCTTTAACGTTAAGTTATTGTTATTTATTTCTATTTTGAATTTGAATTACTTTTTAAATCCCAGGACTATTGGGGATATGGAAGAAATAAAGTATTGGTGAACACATTGTTGTTCTTGTTTCTGTTCCTAACAATTTAAGTGATTTAGTGCAAGGGGATCAGTCCTTGCAAGTTTACCATCGACAGAAACGGATCCGGCATGTTGGGCGAATTGTTAGGAACAAATATAAGAACAATCAATGTGGTCTTCAATTTCCTTTTATCAAAAATAATTCACCAATACTTTATTTCCTCCATATTTCTAATAGTTATAAGGTAGGGATTTAAATATTCTTCTAGGCAATACAAATTCAAAATAAAAATAAATAACAATAACTTAAAATTAAAGATAATAAATTTAAATTTGAATTTTGAAATTCAAATAAACCATAACCCACAGAAGGTGGGTTCATGCCCGTTTCCGTCGATGGTAAACCTGCAAGCATCGATCCCCTTGCACCACATCAATTCGTACATATATCTATAGATAACAGATGGAAGGAGTATTAACCATTAGAAGCAAAAGTTGAATGTGCAAACACCTTTCATGTGCTTTCTTTAGAGCTTACTAAATGCAATTGTTCGCAAGAGTATTCTACTCTATGACTTTGACAAACATCGAGACTTGGAAGATAAAAATGTAGTACAAAATATTATGGAAGAAAGACAGGTTGGTGTTCAGTAACATTTGGATGAAAAGAAATCGACAAGAATGTGAAGCATATAAACTCACATGGCAGCAATACTCAATTGAGCTACTAAAAATATGCGTGACAGACCAAAAAAACAAAACTTGAAATATATGGGAAAATTATAACTATCAACTACAGAAATATGCTTGAAACAAGAATAGGAGATAAAGTGACACGATACCTTGCTGAGACCAACGTCAACAAGTGTTCCTGTAGAATCTTGTAGTTTTTCGGCTGTGACACCTGGAGCAAAGATGTTAATATAGCTTAACAACTGAAGAACATAATTTCTTCATGTTTGATGCAAAAGTTGATAAAGTTACAGAAGAGAGGTGACAGTATTTGCTTAGTGAAGCAAGATTCAATACTATATAATAATCAAATGTACTGATATTCATAACTTGCTGTTTAATACAGAAACACAAAATAACAAATGGCTATCCTGTAAAAAATCATTCGGAAGTGGAAAGAGAACAAAGAACAAGAAACATGAAACTTCATAAAGATTTAAGTGGAGAAAGAAAGAAAGGAAGTTGAGGAATAGAAACACACATTAATATGGAGATTAGAACAGGAAAAATAAAATATTAATAAAAAAGACAAAAGAGAATGTCGATATATATATGTGAGGAGGGAGAGTGAGAATTGCAGCACAAAAAGTAAGCAATGACCATGCTCATTGGAAAAAGGCTGTCTAACCATATGCTACAAGTGTGCAATAGTATAAAATTGGTGCCAGGCATAATATTGGAGCACCGAGTCGGCGAGTCCATGGCACGCCCTAAACACAATGGTCGCGTTACAGAAAATAATAATAATGAAATAAAAATGAAAATGAAAATAAAACAAGAAGAAGAAGTGTAGAAAACAAATTGAACATTTATTACCGAAAATCATTCCCTTCCAAAAAAATCTTCAAGAAAATATTTTTAGAAAAATTACTAGGATATCCCCGGAGGTAGGACTACAGCCATGGAGTTTTACTAAGGAACGAACAAAGGTATAATACTGTTCAAAAATTAGGGTTTCTTAAAGGTTGTTTGTACTGGAAAAGGAGGTGACAAATTAACTGAGAGTTGGAAGGTTTGTGCACAAGTATTTTGGGCATCAGTAATATGAATTATCAACATGGAACTTACCTGAAGTTCAGCGATCAAGTGTAAGCCATCATTTGCCCAGATTTCATTAGGATTTTTTTATAAAAATAAAAAAGAAATGGAGAATACATCTGTATATCATGCATGGATTTTGCAGAGATGAAAAAGTAGTAAGACTGCTTACGAGGTTTCGAAAATGCAAACAACCAAAACATGAAAGGTCATAACAAGATATCACTATCCTTAGATAGGTTCAAAGTGATAAGCCCCAGAAGCATACATGTCATCGAGATACCTACCTAAACACGTGATCTAGGTCAAGCAATCACATGCACGAATTTTGTATGAATCATATTAAAATATCGGTATCAACGTCAATAAAGTCCAATAACCCATTCATGGGATGAACACATCAAGACGGTAATGCTTCATATTATTAGAGCACGTGTATAACTATCTCAATTAGAAGTTTGAGGCGACAGAAAGTGCACTAGATTTTAGTTATTTATGCTTTAACTCATCCCACACACTTTTATTGTGCAAGTGGGGTTCTTTTAATAAAACGTTGGACGTGAAACACCTTTTAACAAGAATTCACACCAGGATTCAAACTGAGATAGCCCTCTTTAATATCATGCTACATAAGCACCTCATCTAAAAACTAAACTCAATTGCATATGTATTTTTTATAGTTAATAGTTCTTATATAATTTAAGTCACCCAATAACAATGATCTTTTCAAATGCAGAAAATTAGGCTATGCAGCTAGCAGCCGGACATTAACTTGGATTAATGCAACGACAGTTTTAATATCAACTCATTATATTTGTAACACAAATACAGAAAAAAACACTAATTGCTTCAACAACTCAAGAGGAGCATGAGATGTAATTCTAATTAAGAGCTAGTATGCTACCTTCCCTGTACGAAGCCCATTCATGCTTGCGCAAATGGTGTGGGGCATCAAGTGGGGGCAAGAGACCCTGTAAAGAAACATAAAATGAATTTTCAAAATTGTGTATAAAAGTTTAGCGTTCTCTAAAATCCTTTGACATAAGATACTCACCACATATCTTAAACTGTTATGTCTTGGAAAAAGACTTTTCCTGAGATATTGTGGAGTCTCAAGATATCTCAAGATTCTCAGAAGGAAAAATGCACCGGTCTCATTCTCGGCTGAATCATCATTACTGATTTCAGTTGAAGCGTCCTCCGACGTACCCTTGCTATCGAAAACAACCACCTGTATAATGAAGATCTGCTGTTAGAACACTTGAAACATACCTGACATCTACAAAAGCAATATTTTTTCCTGTTATGGTGATCCGTAATGTTAAGATAATAATGAATTGGAAAAATGAAGCCCATTAGTAGCTTTCAGAGAGGCAATTTCTGGTGAGGTTGGGCATGGATGGCATACACATCCAAATTCTTTCATGCATTTATTATTTTATTTTGCACCAAAATATGCCCATATCAGCTAAACTCAACACATGGCGACTCATTCAAATGTAGACAAACTGGTCATTACATATCAACTTTCAGAATAGTGAACTGAGGGAAAGAAAATTAACAATTCAATTACTTATTATACTAAGAAGGAAAATCATCTAATAATATGCCAGAACACTTTAAAGCATAGTTATATTCACAGATAAATTTGTTATTATGTTAGAGGAATTTTTTTTTCGAAGCGGAGAAATAAGCTTCAGATATCAAACATAATTGAGGATAAAATAGGTGTTTGATTTGATATTTTTGGGGGGGAAAAATTGGATGAATAGTATAAATCCAATCCAATCTCCAAACAAACACACCCGAAATAGAAAATATATATATATGTATATATAGAGAGAGAGAGTAGACGCAAAGATACGTGTATCTTAGCCAGTATTAGTTTTCTCTCAGTTCATGTTTTAGCATTAAAGAATTGGAGCAAATTTAGAGCTTTGCTATACCTTAACAAAAACATAAACAACAAATCAAACCCACAACATTTTCTAGGAGATATCAATAAATGAGTGGCTTTTCAATTGGCAAGAATAGATTTCACACTGAACAATGCTGACCTCATAAAAATACATGTATCAAGATTTGATCTCTACGGCCATGTTTAATTTGAGAATTATCCAACCTATCACACATCGAAATAGACAAGTTAACAATTAATTACCTAAATTATTACATAAATTTTCATGTCCGATACTATAAAAGAATAATCAAGCCATTGTTGATCACACCCATAGAAGCAATCATAGTGTATGTAAATTAGTGCCCACACCACAAACTAAGACAGAAACCAACCTCATCTATACGAAAAATCGTTGCGGCACGAGCAACCTGGCCAGCTAACTGCAATGGGAAAATTCAAGGGAAGGATCAGCACACTAAATTACAGAATATAGCAAATTTTGAAACGAGAAACGAGCCTGATTGCATTATTAATTTTCTATAAACATTGGACAAGAATCAAAGAAACTCCAAAAAGATCAAAATCAGGACGTTTCCAGCTTGATTGAGGTAATTACGGATACCGTTACAGATGAACAGGCCTTCCATCATCGATGAATCCAAATTAAAAGACCTTTAGATGAAAATGCAATGCACAAGAGCCTTACACGGGTCGCGAGTTCGACGGACTGTGCGTTGTCGATTATGGAGCCAGGAACAGCGATGGATACAGTGGGCGCTTCAGTTGCTAGCGATACGGCGTCGTCTGCAGTCGGTTCTTCCTCCTCCGCTTTCTCTCTGTTTTTCCTCTTCTTTTTCGCACGCTTCTCGTGAGATCCAGATTCGCCGCCATTAGCGGCGGGGGCGTGATTTGGAGCAGTTTCTCTCTTATCCTTCTTCCCCATTTATCGGTTCTGTCGATTCTTTCTTCCTACTTAGGGTTTTGCAGCTTGATTAGGGTTTTGCAATTCAGGGGTTTTATGGAGGACGCCATGAACTTGTGTGCTGTACGGTGTGCTCCTCGGGCGGTACAGAGGGCTTTGTTCTGTGTGTTGTACCGTGCGCATCTCCTGTGGTACAACCGTACAACGGTCTTTTTCTTTATATTTGAAAGATTTTGATAGGTTTTTATTATTCAACAATCAAAATTTAATTCTTGGTTTTTTAATTTTTATTATTCAACTAAATTTTCTTTTTAAAAAACATCAAATATTTATTTTTATATATTACATTCAAAATTTAAATTTATATTCAAAATCAAATCTAAAAATTAAAATTTTATAAGTAAATAAGCCCATGTATTTATTTATGATGATTTATTTCATTATTATTGATTTACAACGTAAAATATAATTAAAATAAATATAAAATATGTTTTTAAATATTTTAAAAATTAACACTTTAACAAAATATTAATATGAATATTAGTTTTTAGAGAATAAAATAAACAATACAAATAAATACAAAATAAATATATAGGATATTGGAGTATTTATTTTTGAAATATTTGACATGATATTTTTATATGAGATTATGTAAAAATATAAAAATAATTTTTTAAAAAAATGTGTGATTTTTTTATTTCAAAAAGAATATAAAATTTTAAATGTATATAAATATATTTATTTACGGAAGAGATAAAAATAAAATATTTCGAATGTATTTAATATGATATACTCCTTCTTACCAACTTCTTTGTCTACTACTTTTATTTATGTATATATTTTATCATATTTTAAATTTCATAATCAATAATTTTTAAAATTAAATTAAATTAATTAATTAATTTAATTTTAATATATAATTATTTATTATTATATAATAATAGTTTTTATCAAAACTAACATCATTATCAATAATAATTTCTTTGGATATCACATTAAATATTTCATTTTCTAAACACAAAAAGGGAAAAAGGAAACAAAAAAAAAAAAAAAAAAAAAAGAAAAAAGTCGTCATATATCTGAAATTAATGTACACTATTTATTCATCATCAAATTTTGTGCTAACAGTAATATTTATACTCCCATATTAATTTAAATTATTTGCTAATATTACATATTTATAGAGCATATTATGTCAACATTCCTATCCTCCATTCTATACACTCTAGAATAACACCAAATAAGATTATCCATCGTCATAAAGAACCAAGAAGATCAAAATGCCCAAAAATCTAACATTTTCATAATTTGTAATATTCATTGGCTACCAAATTTAAGGATGATCAGGTTTACATGAGTTGAGGTGCATTCTGGGGGTGCTAAAGTCCAAGAAAATTATCGACGTGTTATCTTTGGTTCGTTGCGTCTGCGCTTCGTTCAACAACACCTTTGCTATTTTCTCCGCAGGATTCTCTTTCTCCGTCGCGTGTCTCTCCAACGCCTGTTGATCACACACCTCCGAGACATTCGATTCAATAAAAGGGTAGGGAACATGACAGAAAGTGCAAAAATAAAAAACAACAAATGGGCGCGCATTTTTACTCGATTAAATTACCTGGTGGACGAGCTGAGCCGCCTTCCTGGTGTTAACTACGTCCCAGAATCCGTCGCTGTGTGTCCATAAACAAAACATATTTGTTAAAAAAATGTGAAAAAGAATGTGTTTCTTTGGCAAAAAAATGTGAAAAAAGAGTACGGTTGGCTTTTTTGCGTGTTCATCTTTGAATATGAATTATTATATCAATACGTTAAAGAGAAAATGACAAAAATAACTCTATTAGTCTCTTATAATATAAATGCAATGATATTGTAGAGTAAATTATACAAATACAAGAATATTTTTAATATTAAATACAATGACCTAAAAGACAAATGGTATCCTTATGGGACGGAGGTAGTATTTGAATTCTACCGTTTTCCAAAAAAATACGGTTGTGTTCTTTTATGAATTTTACAGCAGATTCTTCCTATTCAAAATTTTTTTTTCCTTTAAAAACATCAAATCAAACAATTACTTTTCTTTCTATATATGACACTATAAATTTATTTTACATTCAAAATACCATATTCAAATTTTTACTATTTAAGAATCTAAATCCACAAACAAACACCAGTATGTCTTTTTTTTTTTTTTTTATAAAACATCACATCAAATATTAATTAAATATAAAATTCAAATCAAATCTTCCCAACGAAAACAAGCATACCCTAAACAAAAGTCGAGACATTGTCAACAGAGGCTTAATTAAGCACTCTTTGTGGTTCAACTGTATTTTCGCACTATACAATCTAAACTACAATATTTTTCATTCTACAAAACATTATATCCGACACCTATTTTATGTTTAATAACAATGTATCTAAATATAATTTTCATGCAAACTATCACGACCAAAGCCTACTTCGCATTTAAAACAATACCGTCTAAAACCTATTTTCTTAGAAACATTTCAAATCCAAATCGCCACAGAACACATCCTTTTAGACATAATGTGATATTTGGAATTTTATGTCAATCAATGTTCAAACACAAAAACAAATAATTACTAATTTTTTAATATATTAGCTAACTGAAGACTATTTCAACAAACTGAAAAGTCATTTGTTGATAATCTCGGGGCTAAAACAAAGAAGCGCTAAAGAGAAAACTTACCTGGCTATTATGGCGAATCCCTTGCATGATCGATCTATTCGCATGACATCACTGACATAAGGTTCTGAACTGAACCGGGCATCCCGCTCCTTCAGAAATTTATCTCCGAGCATCCGAGCAAGATTTATACCTGAATGGCAATGGCAAGGGGAATAAGTATGCAAGTTCATATTACAGCTGCTAATATATTCATCAATAAAATGCTATCCGAGCACCGCATATTCGTGTTTCCCTATCTTTTAGGGGTGCTCCTAATGCCTGCATGCGAAGTCTTTCGGAGTAACTGGTTATCCGGTGGTCTTCTGTCATCTTTACCTGCCTTCCGTCAACACTGCATGGGCAAAATCGAATCAGAAAATAAAAGTAAAGAATTTGATTTTAGTGAGAGCCAAGTAGGGTTCGGTAATCTAGAACATGTACCATCATCATGGTAAGTTCAGAGCAATAGGGGGGAAGAACAAATAAGTAGACAGCACTGACATCAAGCAATATGTTGAGGAGCTAAAACTGTCAACTAGTTAGCTTTCAAATCGAAGGAAGTACAAAAAAGTACAATAAAGAGACTCAGCCAATTTGGGAGTTCAAGAGCTGCCCGTGCCAAGAAGGCACAGGAACTCGAGAAAAAAAGATGTGCACGAGTATCCCTTCTTACAAATAAGTTTGAGCTGCATACAAATTATCATACTAGATCATAAAGTGTTTTCAAATAAGACACTTCTAACCATATAACCTAAATAGTTCGCATAAAGACATTCAAATGCTTCTTGTAGCAAATGTTGTTAGAATATTGGAGATCCATCGAAAAAGAATTTTTAAAGACAATCAATTTTAATGGCTGCTGTCTGCAACACAAGGAAAGGGATGTTTGTCTCCAAACTTATAAAGTGCAAAACCATGAACCAAAATTATGTAATCTTATTAAGGCAAATAGCTAAATCGCGTAAAGCTTGATCAGCATTTAGCATATGAAAGAAAACTGTGATCAAGCATCTCATGGAGAAAAATTGTAGCTAGTGGAACCCGACAAAAACTGAGGACAGTCCACTGCATAAGTTATCTCCTTATAATACTCAAGATGCAGTAATGGCTAAGAAATCGGTAATATGCTATTCTATGAGTGTCCAATAAAAAAGCACGATGAATATCAACACCTACTTTACAACACAAGCTGAATCTCCAACATTTGCACATTGTACAAAGCAATTTTCCTCATCATCGGTCCAGATGAGAAGCACGGTTGCAGTACAGCCCTGAAAGAGTTGTCATATTACAACACAATGTACATCCTCAAATATCAAAAGGAGATGCCGTAACAAACTAAACAACCTGATGCAGTTTATTTCTGCTATTGCAACAAACAGAAAGAAGAATCAGTACATTTGCACGAACTGGACTCAATGACGTTTGGTAGATGCAAAATACCAAGTAATCAATTAAAGTTATGAAAGTATAAGCACGAAATAATTTGTCCGGTAAAGAGTAGCATGCAACGAATCTAGAAGTTATTGCTTATATAGTAGTCATCCGATCCCCAAACGATTTCATAAAACTAATGGAAGCAATAAAAATGGTAAATTAAATCAACTCAGTCTGTATTGTTCCCATTGATATCAAGAGCTGATTAGCAAGCAATAAAATGTAGAATATGCCGTGTTGTTTCACACAATCGCTTGGAAGTATAGAGCGAAGGAATTAAACTATAAGCACATTAAACAAAACGAATTCTATCAAGGCTCAGTGTTTTAAGTACAATGAAGCACACAAGATACGAATTGAAAAATAAAGCAAGGGAGCACACAGAAATGAAATGGAATTTAAGAACAGTGAAGGAAAATGTTGAGTATGAACCTCATAGTAGTGACTAATACGTGATTCTGTCTCATAAAATGCTTCTTTAAGTATATCTGAAGCATTGCATTTAGCCAGAACCTCCTCTCTTCTAGAGATATCGGACAATATGCCAGTAATTACTTCCGGCATTATTCTGGGGACAGAGAAATGAGAGTAAGTATTATACAAGATCCATAAAGCACCTTCGAAGCAATTTAAAATAAGAACTATAATGAAAATTTTGGTAATACTTGTCCTACCCTTCTATGCAACGCTCTAAACCTAATTGCTGAAATTAAATGCAAGTGAAAAGAATCATTTCCGCAGAAGTGGTTAGAAATCAGATTGTCTAAGACTCTTTATCATTAACCAAATCATTGTCTTATCATTCTATGCCGTCAACAAGGCAGTTTGTAAAAATCCCAGCGCTTTTCCAGAATGAAATTAAATTAAACTATGGAAGACAATGTATGCACGTGTAATGTTCCAAATAATAGAGAATAGTAAAATTGTGGATGTTGCGGCAATAGAACTATTTTGTAGAATTAAAGGAGACTGCAAGCAACAGAAGGGTATGAAACTCTAACTTGCTAACAGATGTGGAATTAAATTAAACTATGGAAGACAATGTATGCACGTGTAATGTTCCAAATAATAGAGAATAGTAAAATTGCGGATGTTGCGGCAATAGAACTATTTTGTAGAATTAAAGGAGACTGCAAGCAACAGAAGGGTATGAAACTCTAACTTGCTAACAGATGTGGAATTAAATTAAACTATCGAAGACAATGTATGCACGTGTAATGTTCCAAATAATAGAGAATAGTAAAATTGCGGATGTTGCGGCAATAGAACTATTTTGTAGAATTAAAGGAGACTGCAAGCAACAGAAGGGTATGAAACTCTAACCTGCTAACAGATGTGGAATTAAATTAAACTATCGAAGACAATGTATGCACGTGTAATGTTCCAAATAATAGAGAATAGTAAAATTGCGGATGTTGCGGCAATAGAACTATTTTGTAGAATCAAAGGAGACTGCAAGCAACAGAAGGGTATGAAACTCTAACTTGCTAACAGATGTGGCAGCATCAGCTCCTCCATGTCCATCGCAGATGCCAAAAAGCCCAAACTGCAACAAGGAAACCGATTTCTAATAGACAACCCAGAGGTGCGCATGAATCATCAAGAAAACACTAAACCCCAAACCTGATCCATTCCGGGAAGTGGCCAGTGATAATAGTGGACATCTTCCATGGGCAACTTCTTTCCTCCACGACGCATAGCCATGGGATCAGATGCTATGCCAATCCCGAAAGGAACATTGCACTCTTTCTGAGTTGTTGTAATATGGACCTGAAATAGCGAATAAAATGCAAAGAAACAAACACTACCACTTTGTGGCAAAGGACACAGAATGCATTAAAATACACAGGTCAAGCCTTTTACCAAAATCTTTGAACTCGTGCCCAAAGTTATGACATCTCCACTTGACAACTCAACTGGGTTACTCCAATGTCTGCTTTCAGATTGAGAAATACAGATTGATTGGCCGTTCAAGATTGTACCATTCAAGCTACCCATGTCAACCAGCTCCCATTTCGATTTCTACAATAATGTGATTTTTCTCATGGCTCAAAGTAATCATATATATATGTTACGACCAAATGTCAAAGTGCCAAACTTACATTACTGTTCCAATTTATCATTGCATGCTTGCCAGAGACTTCCGATTCCTTTAAGATTAAATCACCAGGCGACACTCTTCCAATGGTCACCGGTAGCTTTGAAGTCTCAGTTGACTGTATAGAATATCGAATCCCAGAACAAGGACCTGATATTACCTCCAGCATGAGAGTACAGCCTGCACTTCTAAGAGAGCAACATGATCACATGTTTTTTACACATTCCACAACAACTAACAGAAACATCAATGGTCTTCATAATTGGCTAAAAGAAATTACCTTGGCTTGCACTATAATTGGGAGCCATGTCTTTGGAGCTGTCTTTATCTGATCCATATTTTCGGCTATAAGGCGTATCTTCTTTCTTGTTTTGTATTTGCTCACCAGCAAACTGAGATGTTCCAAGAGGACTTTTAAAAGTCTGACCAATCAAAGAGTCCTCTGTAGTATTTGGAATATTAAGAACGAAACTATCACCTGACCAAGAAAACGGGGGAGAATAGTTTTGGCTTTGTCTACGTTTGCAGAAAATGAAATTAGCAAAAGTGGGTAGAATCTATTACTCTGCGACAAATGGGAGGCCGCCGGATGGAGTCTTTGTTTAGGCTCTGCAGGAACAAAATGCATTGAACTTAAACCCTCCTCAGCAGTGTTACTTGACGATGACACGTTCGGGGTTTCAGGAATACCTTGTTCTCCATGAACAAGAGGCCTCTCAATATCATCATCATCCTGTATCGAGAATGCAACTGTTAGAGAAGACAGAAATAAAGATGCGTAAAAATGAGTGTGAAGTGCGAATATCTCAACAGCAACGGCAGAGAGAATATGGATTTGTCAAATCTATAAACATGGAAAGGGCACACGTACAAACTGTAAGGTTGTGTTCTTTTGTGAATTTTTAAGCAGATTTTTACTATTCACTTTTCTTTCCCCTAAAAAAATATCAAATCAAACATATACTTTTCATTTTTTATATTATACTAAAATTAATTTTACATTCAAAACATCACATCAACATTTATTTATATCACATCAAACAACTATTCAAATTCAAACTTTACTACTCAAAAAATCCAAACCCACAAACAAACACACCCTAAACTTTGATTTGTTTAGTAATCCAATTAGTTAAGCAAATGACGGCAATCCATCTCCAGCCCAAAAAGTGCATTCCAGGCTGATTTTCATGTAACAAGATGATGCTAAATCGTCTAATAGAGTGATAAGCACCACACAATGAAACAAAACATCCACAACTCCAGTTCTTCGGGAACAAATATTTGAATGTTTATGGTGGAAATCTATTGACGTGAAAAGTCAGGAAAACAGCTATACACTGGACGAAAGAATACCCTATATAATTTCTTAAGCTACTTGTAAACCTATAAAAGTGAATACAGGTGTTCATAATTTCAGATTTAGGATCAATGTTTTATCATATTAACGACTATCCACAGAGAAAGGAGTGTGTAAGTAATGATCTAACTATTAGACATTAGTTGTAAAAAATGAACTTCACAATCAAGAAAGTAATCAAAAACAATAAAAATGAAGTCAGAAGAATTTACAACTGATGTAATCATTTCACACGCTTACAACATCAGTAGATATAACACTCAACAAATTCTTTTTGCATGGAAATCACAAATCTTGTCTGACTTTTCTTTATCCAAAACTATCACAGCCCGAACTATTCAAAAACAATAAATTCACAATAGGAAGGTACTCAAAAACAAGAAAATGATGTCGGCCGATTCACAACTGATGTAATCATTTCACACACTTACAAAATCAGCTGACATAACAGTCAAAAAATTCCTTTTTCAAGGAAATCCACAATTCTTGTCAAATTTTCTTTATTCCAACTTGAAATACACAACTCAAGCGTGAAGGTCCGACATATAGATCATTCTAACTCGGGGTCTTACAGCATTAGACCCCGAAATCATGGAGAGTTCATAAAAACACAAGTAGAAATTCCATTCTCAAATTCAAATGAGGAAATCTATGCTAACTTATGTCGAAAATGAGCTCAGGCAAAAATCCTCAATAACAAGAACAGACTGAATCGATATCGATTACATTCAGAATTAAACCCAAAAATCCAACACAAAACGAAATCCAAAATTCCGCCACTCATAAATTCCCCAATTCCAAACCTAACCAAACCAGCGATAACAAAATCAAAACAAATAAATAAAATCCGACCTTGATCGATGCAGCGGGATAGCGACGGCGAGTGGGGGGCGAGGAGAGGAGACGACGCCAGGGTCTGAACTTGCAGGCGATGAGGATGAGGATGACGATTAGGAGAATCATAAGCCCGGCGGCGGCGATGCCCAACAAGAGCGAGGAGGAGAAGAGAAGGCCGTTGGTGGCGAGGCGCATCGGCTCCTCCATCGGAACCCTATGGTTGTAGGCGTTTGATGTGAGTGAGGGAGGAATGGAAGAAGGTGTGTGTGGGGGTGTGTCTAGGGCATGAGCATGATGATTGGGAGGTCGTTGTTGAGGAAATTGGGAGAAACAGAGGAGGAGGATCGCAATCTGCAACTGCAACCAACCACCATACCAACAACCATTACCAACGATTGATCGATGCTCGATGGATCTTTTCTTCCTCTGCGCGTGCGTGTAAGAGAAGCTCTGCGTGAAGAACGCTTTGAAATAGTCGCATGTGTTTTCTTTGTATTTTTTTTCACTTTGTTTTCAACGCTCTTTCTCAAAAAATAATTTATTACTCTCGATCCCATCTAAAATATATATATATATATATATTTTATATCGTTCATATAATTTACTTTTATTTTCAAATATAATTACATATTTTTATTATATTTTATATTTCATAATTTATAATAATTTTTATTAATATATTTTTAAATTATTTATTAATAATATTTTATATAAATTCTAGTAATTATTATTATTACACGCTACGTCTGTCTCTGACGATTAGATTATCTTTACTTAACATTAAAAATATTTTTATATTTGTATAATTTCTTTTTACAAATATCATTATATAAGACACTAATTGAAATATTTTTACAATTTTTTTTAATTTGTACTACATTTTGATATAATAATTAATATTAAATATTAACATGCAAAAGGTAAATAAGACCTTCCACATAAATAGTTCTATTATTTACAAAATATGTTATTATTTGTAATTTTATGCAAAAGCTATGAATTTGTTTAGTATTTTGATTTGAAATAATTGTTTTGTTACATTAGATAATTATTTCGATAATATTAAATATATTATTTTAAATTCCATATATATATTTTTTTTGTGAGAAAATAAAATACACAATATATTAAAAATTGTGTATAATTAAAATTTTGGGCAACAAACCCTGTGACAATATATGATTTATAATAAATTATTCTTATATTTTATTTATGCAAAATCGGTATTTACGGCCCTGAATTTTTAGCAGCATATTGACAGCACACCATGTGTTAATAGACAATATATTACGTATGTTAATATAATACAATATTATATATTTTTATTACAGTACACCATGTGTTAATAGACAAGCATATTGTATATATTAATATAATACAATAAACATATTTTTAGACAGTACACTTGTCATTATAAACAAATAATAAATATCATTATTACACGCATAAATGGTTTGTGCAATAAAAATGTGTGTCATATATAAAAATGTCATCCTTATTCAACTATATTTTCACTGTACTAGATATAGTGTTACAGTTAAAAGTATATACTAAGGGTGTGTTTGTTTGAGGGTTTGAATTTTGGGTTGAAATTTGAATAGTAAAAATTTTGAATTTGAATAGTTGTATGATGTGATATAAATAAGAATTGATGTGATGTTTTGAATGTAAAATTGATTTTAAGTATAATATAAAAAATGAAAAATAAATGTTTGATTTGATATTTTTGAAGGGAAAATTTTGTGGAAATAGTAGAAATCCCACAAAATCCCCAAACAAACACACCCTAAGATTTAAGAGATGCGTGATTAATAAATAATTAATAAAATATAGTAAAAGTAAGAACATGTTTGTTTTGTATTTTAGTTTGAAGAATTTTTATTTTTTTTTATGTAAACTATAAAAATTTGGGTATATAATATAAAAAAAGGTAAACTGTTTTTTTGTCCCGTCATAAGTGGAGTCTGTTGCAAACTAGTCCTATAAGTGAAAAATTTTCGTTGTTTTAGTCCTCCGGCGCCGAAGATGCCCACGTGGCTCGCCGGAGGTGACGTGTCCACTAGGTGTCGCTGACCTGGCGGACACGTGGATTTTTTTTTTTTTTAAAAAAAACATATTTTTAATTTATTTTAAATTTTATTTGTATTTTTTTATTTTTTTATTTGGTCCAATTAAAAATAAAAAAAATAAAAATTTCACTGTCCGCCAGGTGTCGCTGACCCGGCCAGACACCTGACGGACACGTCACCTCTGGTGAGCCACGCGGGCGTCTCCGGCGTCGGAAGACTAAAACAACGAAATTTTTTCACTTATGGGACTAGTTTGCGACATGCTTCACTTACAGGACTAAAATGATAAAGGGTCAGGAACTAAAAAAACAGTTTATCATGTAAAAAATAATTAATGCATATAGTATATACTTTTTTTTTTTTTTCAGAAAAATATGTTGGTTTGTTTTGAGTAAAAGAAGACACACTAATTTTATTATAATAAAAACGATTATAAATTAAAATAAATAATTAGTATAATTAAAATTAAAAGAATTATATATTTATAATTTTAAAATAAGATTAAAATATCTATAATTTATTTATTTTTTTTAAATGACATGACACTTAAAATATACAATAAGATGGACAAAAGCACATAGAACTATTCATGTAAAATAATTTTTCTATCATTTTATTCTGTTCAATAAAAATATGTATTTTTCTTTTTAATAATTGTACTATTTACCTCATATTACAAATACCCTTACAACTTACAATATATTACACAAATACCATTACTTTTATATCACACATACTAATAAAATGATTTTAGTCATTTTCTTTTATTCCTACCGCATTTAATATAATATTAATATTTATAAAACTATGTGAAAAAAACGTATTTACTATTTTTATATTTTCTATAGAATTTTTTATACCGCGCATCAGCAGAAATTTATTTTCAACAATCTTGGAAAACAAACGCATTCAAAGGATCAACAAACCCAAAATTAAAATCATTTTTGGGGCAACAGAAATTTCGTTGTAGCAATTTCCCACCCCAATATTTTGCCATATTTACATTTGAAGCCCCAAATAATTTTGGAGGTTACCAAGAAATGTAGTGATAAGTAAGAAGTGGACATAACTTCTTCTTCTTAGATAACCTTAATTTATATTATATTATATATATATATATATATTTCTTCTTCTTTTTTCTTTCACTTCATATCAGAAACCCTTCATTTTTAGTTAAACAAATTCTGTGAATCCTTCCTTCAATGGCTCATAAATTATTGATACAAAGAAATCAGAAAATGAGAAAAGAATCAACGGTCGGATTAAGGTATTACTTCTTGCTATTTTCTTTTTTATATTTTATTTTATTATTATTGTTTTTTTTATCGTATTAAATTAAATTAAATTAAATGAGTTAATCGGGTTAAATCGATTTTTGAATTTATTACGGTGTTTTTGGAGCCATTTTGAATGTTTTAATGGTAGATGTGAAAATAAATACCGAATTATTGAAACATTGTGTATATTGTCGAATTTATTCTTCCTTGCTTGTCATATTAACTTTTAGGATTCAATAAGTTAGTTTATCGAATATTAAAATTAATTTTTCTGACTGATGAAAAATACTGAATTATCAAAATATTGTGCATATTGTCGAATTTATTATCCTAGCTTGTTGTATTAATTTTATTTTTTAAAAAATTAACTTTTAGGATTCAGTAGGTTAGTTTATTGAATATTGAAGGGTGCGTTTCTTTCGATGGATTTGAGAAAAATTTGGTTTAATTTTGATATTAAAAAAACAGAGTCTAAATAATAGAAACATAAAGTTTTTGATAAAAGAAACACATCCAAAATTAACTTTTTTCTACTGATGAAAAATAACATCATGCATATTGTCGAATTTATTCTTCTTAGCTTCGATTTTATTTTTATTTGTTTATGTATTAACTATATATTTTATTATACCTCACATAAATATATAATTAAATCTTTAATTTTGATTTGAAATTTAGATGATATTTTTGTTACTCTTTCTGTCCATAAAAAATTAGTTATATTTCTTTTATAAATTACGAAAGACATATCACTAATTTTCGTTGACAGATAAAAGTATTTTGTAAAAATGAATAGTAAAAATTTTGATTTGAAATAAAAAAAAAAAAAAAAACACTCTAAAAATATATTTTTTAAATTTAAATTTTGAATTGAAAAATTTTAAATAATTTTTTAATATAATGTAAAATAAATATTATTTGTTATTTTTGTAAAATTAAAAATAAATATTTAATTTGATATTTTTAATTAGTAAAAGTTATTAAATACCAACAACTTTGCTTAGGTAACGAGAGTCTTATAAAAATAAACACGGAAGTCCTACCACCTAACTCAATGAAGAAATAATAATTACTACATTTAATAATACTAATAATAATAATAATAATAATAATAAAATAATAATAATATATTCAATTCTCAAAACCGAATCTATCCATTTGCTCTGAAAGCCATCGTCGCCGCCCGGAATCGCCGCACCGTCGCCATCGGTTTGCGTGCCCGAGGTCGCCGGAATCTGCCCTGCCCCGCAAGTATATTTAACAATATATAATTTCGATTTCTCTATTTCTGTCTTCACCGTCCACTTGCGCGATCTCTGCGGATGTGCTCCGTTTAATTTATCGATCCTTTCCAAGGTTGATCTTCTGCTCCGATGGAGTCGTTGGTGGAGGCGACGTCCGGCGCGGTGGGTGCTCTGGTCAGCACCACCGTTTTGTATCCGCTCGACACTTGTAAGTCCAAGTATCAGGCTGAGAATCGAGCTCATCATCACCAAAAATACAGGTGCTTCCTGATTCGCTTTCTTGTCTGTAAAATTGATAATTTGGTTAATTGACTGAGTTTGATAATCCTGAAAATTTTTGAGATAAGCTTGTTAATCGTTTATGGTGGTGATTAGATACTTACGCTTTGAAATTGAGGTAAAAAAACTTTGAATTTTCTGTTCCAGCTGAAATTAGAGAAGAACACTTTGGAGCTGTGTGCAAAACTTGTACATTCTACTTTCAGTTTGTAATTAGAATCAGACACTTTGAGATCTTTGTTAGAAGTTAAAATTGTTGTTAATGAATTTGTGAGAAAAAAATAAAAATAAAAATTTATGATCATCTTCTTGTAAGGCTTCATACTATGCATTGCTTTAAAGGTTTTGATCTGTTTTCATATTATTCATAAATGCTGAGTTAATGGATTTGTCAATAAAATATTGATTGGAATTCATTTTTCCTTAAATCTAAAAATATAATTTGTTTGAGGGTTTGGATTTTGAGTTGGGATTTGAATAGTAAAAGTTTTGAATTTGAATAGTTGTATGTGATGTTTTAAATGTAAAATTAATTTTTAGTATAATAGGTGTTTGTTTTGATGTTTTTTAGGGGAAAAAAATGAGATGAATAGTAAGATTTTGCAAAAATCTTACAAACGAACACACCCTAAGCATTTAATGTTATGAATAACATTTGTGAGCTTCAAAGTGCCGCAGTTTCTTGTGTTGAACTGTATGGTCCCTAATGAAATTTCTTCAGTTAATTTGTTGGCTATGTAATTTTCTCCATAGTGGCGTTTGTACTGTCGAGTTTGGACAATGAAAATGGAATTATTGCGCAACCGTTAATTTTTGTGTTCATCATTGAGCCAAATAATGAGTGGGACACGATATTGATAGTGATGATGCAATTTGATTTCCGTGTGGATAACAGGAGCATATCCGACGTATTTTGGGAAGCAATATCCAATGGTCAGTTTCTATCATTGTACCAGGGGCTAGGGACAAAGAATTTGCACTCTCTTATTGCTCAGTTTGTCTACTTCTACGGATACAGCTTCTTTAAGAGATTATATTTGAGGGAAAGCGGATCCAAATCCATAGGAACTACGGCAAACTTAGTCATTGCAGCTGCTGCTGGTGCTTGCACAGCAATAGTTACTCAGGCAAGTCCAAGTTCATTGATGTTCTACTTTTAGTAGCTTGTGTTCGTATTAAAGCAGAAACTTTTTGTTGTATGCCGTGTATCCGAGGTGGTATAATCTGTTAGTCTTTGAGCACTCAGAAAAAATGTTTAAATTGCATCTTAACTTCCTGTAAAGTATGCAATGTTCGAATTAGTCCTATGGAAGTTATTCACTTATATTGTGAAATATACGGTGTATTTGTTAGAGGGTTTGAATTTTGAGTTTGGATATTTGAATAATAAAGTTTTGAATTTGAGTAGCTGCTTGATGTAATATAATTAGGTATTGATGTGATGTTTTGAATGTAAATTGATTTTGATTATAATATAAAAAAGAAAAAATATTTGTTTCGATTTGATGTGTTTTTAGGAGGGAAATTAACTGAACAGTGAAAAGAAAATCCACAAAATAAAACAACCAATACATTTTTTGTGTGTGTGGTGGGGGTATGGACTACCAGGGGTTATTAATTTGTTTAGTTTCCATGAGGGCCTTTTTAAAAAACATCTTATATATCACAAGGGGGCAATATGCAAGATGATTGCATCAGTTAGAAGATAGATATTCACAACCGTCCAAGTGAGCTCATGCGTTAATTTCATTTGTGGGTTTGTATTGCATTTCTGTCAGCTTTGTTGTCCTGATTTAAGTTCTATTGATTCAGCCTCTTGATACAGCATCTGCAAGAATGCAAACAAGTGAATTTGGGAAATCGAAAGGTCTATTGGAATCCCTCTCGCAAGGCACTTGGACCGATGCATACGATGGTTTAGGCATTTCTCTACTTCTTACCACAAATCCTTCTATACAGGTACCGGTGCTGTTATTTTCTGTGGATTCTTTTCATAGTCTTATGTGCACCATTTCTCGAGAGCTAATCAGGGTCTCCAACAATTTAGAACAAATGAATTTTAATATTGCTGTTGTGCAAATGTGATAGAAATTCTTCAATGATCCAAAATATTCGAATGAGTAATTGTTTTACGATGTTGTATTTTATCATGACTTGCAGTACACAGTTTTTGATCAGTTAAAGAATAGAATGCTGAAGGAGAAAACGAAGCACGCAGATGATGTATCATCTCCGGAAGCGCTATCTGCATTTTCTGCATTCGTGTTGGGTGCAGTCTCGAAGTGCATCGCCACATGTCTAACTTATCCTGCTATAAGGTAACATGTCTACATTCCCGATTTTTATCATTTTGAGACTATGCTATAAGCTAAGGCAGAAAGTTAAGTACCTTATGATAATTCCGACCTGAAAACATAACACAAAAACATGGGTTTCGGGCAAGTTACGCTGGATCTGATGAGCCCGATAGAAAAAAAAAATGTCAAACAAACAGAAACATAGTTGACCCGTTAACAAATTTCTGAATTAAGAAAATCTAATAAGTATAAAATATAATAGAAGATGTGTTATGCTTTCCTATTTTCTACTTTTATGAGCTCTTAAATTGAGTTTAGATTTATTTTGAGATAGCTTATTAGGATTTATGATTGTATAACTAACCTCACTGATAATTTTGTGTTAAAAAAAACTGATAAATTAGGAATTTAGAATTAAGTTTTAGATCATTCAGGGTGTGCTTACCTGTGTTTTGATTCAGTTTTAGTGGTTGAGTTCTTCCGAATTTTCCATTTAGAGAAATTTGAGGTGAAAATTGGTTTTAAATGTAATGTTTTAAGTGAAAAGTAAGTGTTAGATGTGGCCAAGTTAGTTTAATGTTGATCTGACCGGATCAACATATGTTATACACATAACTAGCATATATTTACACACTACGATACATACTGAGTTATAATATAATATATAATATACGGAGATATATATAAATATATGTTGATTACTTATTAATTGTATAGCATATGCTGATCTGATCAGCTGACCTATGCCCGTGTATACATATAGAATAGTTGTCTATACGCATATCACGCGGCTGCGTCAATCTTGACATAATTGCCGCTACTACCTTATCCAATCGGCCTAAAATTGTTTGTAGGCCAAGCATTGAGCGTGATGTTTTCATGTACAGGTGCAAAGTGGTGATACAATCAAGTAAGTCAGACGACGAGGAGACCAAACCCAAGTCCAAATCCCAAAAATCTATGACAGCAACGCTGCTTTCCATTTGGGAAAGAGAAGGTGTGCTCGGGTTCTTCAAAGGACTACAGGCTCAGATGCTCAAGACTGTCCTCAGCTCGGCCGTGCTGCTTATGATAAAGGAGAAAGTGACGAAAACAACGTGGGTTCTATTGATCGCTTTGAGGAGGTTCTTGTTGGTAACAAAACCGAGGTTGAAGAACACCTAAAGCTATAAGCTCCCGGGAAAAAAACACACACACCAAAAAAAAGGAGGTACGCTAATGCTTATTCGATCCATTTTATTTACTATTACGTGCAATAAATGGGAAACTTGTCTGGAATATGAAATTGATACTTTTCGAATGATTTCTCTTGCAAATAATGTCGGGAAATAATGTTTATAGAGTAGGCGTAATTTTTCATCTAGTTTGAAGACGGGGCGTGGATTTTAATGTAGTAAAGTTATTGCATCATAGGCGTTTATAATCGATCGGGTAGGAACTAATGTCGGAGTTTAGGACGAATAATAGTTCGACATGATATAAAGTATTGCCTGTGTTCTTTTGGAGTTTAGTTTAGTTTATTTGGTATGAACTGATTAGATAATTTTTTTATTTTATGTTTTTGCTAAAATACAATCAAATTCTATTAAATTTATTTCAGAATTTTTACTATTGGGATATTTCAATTTTTTATTTACAAATTTATATATATTTTTTCGTTTTTTTTCAGATAAATTATATACAAATATTCTAAACAAAAAAGAAAATAAATTGCCAAAATAAAAGTAAATTCAAACCACATCGGTCTTTACAAAAGAAAAAGTAACAATTAATGAATAAAAAGGATACGAAATAGGATCCCGATAATAGCTCTAATGTATGTTCAAAAAAAGTAATGTGAAAAAATATAAAGAGGGTTATTTAAAAAAAAAAAAAAATGAATTAAGAAATTTTGATATGTGCCAAAAAATAAAAGTTTAGTAGCAGCCGAATAGAGTAAAAAAAAAGGGTCTAATGATGTGAGGGTGAATTTACGATCATAAGTTCAAATACACCTCTCATTTGTACGATGCTTGGTTCGGCAAACAAAAAAAAAATGTAGATAAATAAATAAAGTACATCAAAGCTTGCTAGTCATATTTCAATTGTTCAATTAAAAGAATGAATAATTTTGTTATAAAATGAGAACGACGGCTACTAAATAAGAAAATAAGACAAATTGTTTTGAAACGAACAAAAATAAAAAAACAAGACCATAAAAGAATTATTAATTTTATATATATATAAGTAATATTTCCTTCGTCCACGGATAAAGTATACATTTACTTGAGTTTAAAAAATAATAGTATTTTAATTATAGTGTATAAGTAAAAGTAGTATATGATATAAAATAAGGATATTTGTAAAAAAAAAAATAGAGTATTAAATGAAATAGTTATATATGTATATCTCTGGACGGAGGAAGGAGTATTATTAACCATACAATTTAGAAATAATAATTAATTACATGATATATAAAAGTAACCGAACTCAAATGTTGTAGGAAATATTTTTTTTTAATAATATAAAAAAAAATATTTTCAATTAAATTGTTGATTTTTTGTAAAAAATAAAATGCATAGTATGTATATATATCAAAAATCATGTAAAAAAAATTGCTTGTAAGCAAACCCTAGAAATCTTCAGCATATGTATTTCTTATTACATACAGTAGTACATAATAACGCCAACAAATTTGTCCCGGAAAAAGGAGTCCCCATTGGAACCTATAAGTATTAGGATCATATTATGCATACATATATATATATATATCTGTCAAAGATTTAAAGTCGAACCAGAAAGAGAACCAAAACCAGAATAGATCACCGAAGAAAAAAAAAAAAAAACACTAGATATGTTAGTTAATTAAATCTGTCCGAGCATAGCTTCTCCCCCCGAAACATTAATCTCGGATGCTGCCTTCTCCACGTTAAGAACTTGAACCTTACCATTTACTACATAGGCCGACCACCTGTCCAAACCAACCATTAATTTTCTCGACAAACTATGTAAGAAAAACTAACAATGTCAGACTAGAAAATAAAAACAATAAAGTACCTATTAGAGCGATGCCCGAGTAAAGCAGAAGATAAATCGACCGTCAAGCCAAGCTTTTTCGTGAAGCTCCCATCAAAATCTCCGTAAAACTCAATCTGTAGTTAGATAGATCATTTACAAGAGTTCATCTAGCTTTTATTCGAGGCAATGTATTCTATTTCTTACATATATATAATGTTTAGAAATTCATTTATCTAATTAAAATAAAAAAATTATAAATTAAAAAATTTAAGATAAGATTAAAATGTATAATTCGTTTCAAATCAAAATGGAAGAGACGAAAATGGAATGGTGGACATGATAAATGTGCCAGAATTGAGTACTATTTAAATCAAAATCTCAATTTCAAATCAAAAACTTATTTTGGTAGATTTTCCTAAAATTTTACTATTCTAATTTTCCATCTACAGAAGAATGTAAACAAACAAAACCTAAGTATTAGGGATCATAATATATGAAACATATGAAACCTCATTCTAATGATTAGAAATTAAACATGTCGGGAATAGGGAAAATTAGAAATAGCAAGTTAGATCGACAAATATGGATTTATAGAGCAAATGATCGACTTACGGCGTCCATAGCCTGAAGCTTTTCTGCCCAGGCATGAATAACAAAGGGATCGTTCACAGCCACACATACCACCGAATCAACTCCCTTCGCCTTGAATTTGTCGATATTGTTTTTATAGCTCGGGACATGCGCCGAAGAACAAACTCCGGTGTATGCACCCTAAGGATATAAATCCCCAGCTATAATCAGCCAGAAAAATGCTACCAACAACCAACAAGAATCTTTAAATACATTAATTTAAATGATCTAAAAAAATGTTCCAATCCAAAACTTCCTGAGACACATTACTGAATCGGATTCAAAATCACTGCCCTGAATTCATATCTATATATATGTATAGAATGAGGAAATTTTGCTACAAAAAACGGAACAGCAACCTTGAATTACATATGATCGATGATCGAATTACATCCAAAACTAATCTCCAATTTAAAGATCCAATAGAACATCACATCCACTGGCTATGTTCAATTCGAAAAAAAGTCAAATCCAAAAGTTCCTGAAACACCTAAAACACAGCCAAACACATTATTGGATTGAATTCGAATTCAAATTCGCAGTTCTGAATATATAATTTCATATATATATATTCTTGATATTGCAAAACTGAGTTCCTGTGTTCATTCAATTATCAAATTACTGAATTGAGTTCATGTCTTAGCAAAACCCCCAAATTTGTACAATTCTACAAAACCTAAGTCATCTACAATGGAGAAATGAAGCACAAACTCGTCAACAGAACAAGCAATTGCGAAGTTAATGCTCAACAACAAAATTTCAATCACTTACAGGAAGGCCAAAGACGACGACCTTCTTATCCTGAAAAATCCAAAAATAAGATAAAATCAGAAATTCATCAGAAACCCTAGCTGAAGAAATTCGCTAACAAAAAACGGAACGGAGAATCGATTGGAGCGCGGTACCTTGAAAATCTCCTTAATTGGAGTAGTGGCGAACTTGGAAGACATCCCCTCGTCCCAAGTGCGGGCCTTCTGAAGGGAGACGTCCGGCGCGGCGGAAATCAGATCGGTACCGACGGTGAGAGAGGAGAAGGACTGGGAAGATGCCATGACTGGTCGAATCGATAACGCGCGTTTCAGCAATACACAGGCGGCCATGGATTCCCGGTGGCGGTTGGGGTGATTTTATAGAGGTTCTGGGCGGCGGAAGGAGCGGACAGTTATCGGCAATGGCGGAGACACGCGCTGAAACTGTCCAAACTGTCGATCCATAGATACTTCCAGAATATCATCTGCAGTTTTCTATGGTGTGTTTTTCGATTTTAATATTTTGTTTTTTCTTTATATAGATTAATTTTATTTTTTTCTTTAAATATTTATATAAAGGGAAAAAATTAATTTTAGTCTTAATATAATCAAAATTTATCAATTTTGGTCATAATATAAAAAATTCATCACTTTTGGTCTAATATAACCAAAATTTCCGTTAGTTTTTTTTAACGGTGAGACCAAAATTGATTAAAATTGTTTATAATTGAATCAAAATTGATTGAAATTGTTTATATTGTGACTAAAATTGATAAATTTTTATTATATTAAGACCAAAATTGATTTTTTTCCCTTATATAAAATATATATTTATAAAATATCATACTCCCTCTGTCCCCTTGTCTATTTTTCTATTTCCAACTTAAACTTATTTTGTTACTTTTAATTTTTTTTAAAAAATTATATATTTTAATTACATATTAAATTTTTAAATTTATAAATTTTTAAATTTTAATTAGACTGATTGATTATATTAATCTTAATCTAAAATTATTTTAAGTTACTATAATTATTTTTATTAATATATTTTTAATTATTTAATAATTATATTTTTTCTAAATTCTCGTGTCTACGATAAACGAGATACGATAACCGGAACAAAGGGAGTATTAAATATTTACTTTTTCATTTTAAAAAGAAATTATGGAAAATGTTCCCATTGTTTTATACATAAAGTCGGGTAAAAATATGAAAACATTATACATATTTTCACTGACTAATCAAATATTATTATTTTTTAATCTATTATAAAACTCCAAAGTGGTACATTCGAATGGAATGAGAAAAGTGTTCGGACTATGTAAATACAAAAATTTAGGTAAAATATAATTAATAAAAATTTAAAAGTATATTTGTAAAAATAATTATTGTATAATAAAACAATTATAGATCAAAACTAAGATAATTAAATAATTTAATTAAAATTAAAAAAATTATAAATTATAAAACTTAAAATACAATTAAAGTGAATTGATGATTTTTTATTTTTATTTTTTATGAAACTAAAATCAATCACAAAAAATGAACATTTTCTATACAATATATCTTAATATATATATATATATATTTCTTTTTAGAAATGAAATAAAAACAAAATCGAGAAACGATAAAATAAAAAAAAAAAAAAAAAAAAAGTAGTCAATTCAAAAAAATGCCTATGGTTTTTTTTTTTTAATTAATTTTGTTGTTGGAAATGTGATTTGGATGTAATATTTTATTAAAGAAAATAATATAACTTTCCAAAAATAATTAGTAAAAAAATTAAAACCAAATTGTAAGTAAACATAGGTTGGATTTTTTATTTTTTATTTTTGTCAAATTTGGGTTCAAAGTGGCATAGCAATTTCTCAAAGTGTACATTGGTCCAATTTAAAATTTCAATTTAGGCCCATTGGATCGGATTGCAATTTATGAAAATAATACTCCCTCCGTCCCCGAACTATAGTCTTAATTTCGTTGGTCACGAGATTTAAAGAATATTGATATTATATTAGTAGTTGATAAAAAATATAAATAAAAGAATTTTTTGCTCTTGTGAGTAGTGTAAAAAATAGTGACAATTGTGTAATAAAAATGAAAAAGTAGAGGTAATTTTACGGTGATATGATTATTTATGAAAATAAGAATGTCAAAAAAAAAAAAAAAAGAAAGATAAAAATAAAATAGAGACAATTGAAATTGGAGTGATGAAGTATATAAATAATTTATAGAAGTTTTCTGATAAATTATAGTATTTTATAAATAAATATAATATTAAAATGTATAAATTAGTTATATGATCAAAAAATTCTCTTTTTTAATATAAAAAAAGCTATTTATAAAATTTTTTTTACTACTAATTCTATTAGCGATTTTGAATATAATATTTTATAAAATTAAATTAAATATATATAATGATGACATAATAAAAAAAATTAAATTAAACTTAAGAAGAACACAAAAATAGAATATATATATATATATATGATAATAAATTATCAATGATTACGATAATTTATTCTATGTTACTTCGATTAAAAAAAGGAGTATTACTTTTATCTTAAAAGTAAATGTTTTTTTATGTGATTTGATTCTAAATTTTATTATTATTATTATTATTATGTAATTAATTAATTTTTTTATAAATATATATTTTTTTTTTTGGTCATCCGCTAAATTTATGTGTAATTCGGTTATTGTAAACATTTTTTTTTTTATCTATAATTTTGTTATTTTTACTTTAATCAAATTTGTACTATTTTTCTATTTATCGGATTTTTTTTTTTATCAATTTTTTAAATAAATCTCATATAATATATCTACTATATTTATTTAAAGGTGAACTATTTTTTTAATCCCGTGATTAGATCCCCTTGTCATTTTATTATAATAAAAATAACTCATATATAAATATCAAAATACTTTTAATTTTAATATTTTTTTATACTTATAAAAACAAAATTATAAAAATTATTCTATATATTCTTACTAATCAACGTTATTTAAAGTAGAGTAGTTTAATTAGTTATAATATAATTTTATTATATTTTTATATGAATAATATTGTTATTAATTTTAAAATAAGAATTGATATATATAATTAAAATAAATTTGAAATATGTGTTTAAATATTTGAAATATTATATCTAAACAAAATATATATAATATGAACATTATTTTATAGAGAATAAAATTTTTAAATAATATAAATAAATATATATATTTATAACTAAAATAAATTACTTTATAAAAAGAGAATTTTAAATGTAAATAAAAATATTTGTTTATTGAAAAGAAAAATATAAATAAAAGAGTTTTGAGTGGACCCTGTATAATATGCGATGTTATATATTATAAAATTAATTAATTATATTTATTAAGTATATTTAAATTTAGTAAACTTTACCAAATATAAAAACATGTCAATTGAAGTAGGACATACAAATATATTAATTATCGTTTACTTTTTACACGTAGATTTTTTAATATTAGTATTATATTAAGTTGTAATAAAAATAACAAAAATATCATATTAGTATTATGTAATATAAAAGTAATGATATTTGTGCAATATAGTGTAAGTTTGAAGGATATTTATTACGTTGGATAGTTAATACAATTACTAAATTAAGAAATAATAACTTTATTTTATGACAGACGAAGATAAAAAGTGACAATTTTTCAATGGGACGAAGAGAGTATTATTTTTTTTTTTAACTTACTACTCCCTCCGTCCCTTAACAATCTATCTATTTTTTCATTTTCGTTCGTCCCATAACAAAATATCTATTTTCTTTTTTAGTAACTGTACTATCTACCTAACATTACAAATATCCTTCCAATTTACAATATATTACACAAATGTCATTATTTTTATATCATACAATACTAATAAAAGTAATTTAATCTTTTTATTTTTACTTGTACTATATTTCAATATAATACTAATAAAACTAAAACTTCATACAAAAAAAGTGGAACGGAATAAATATTAAAAAAATAATAATAAAACAAAAAATAGAGTACAATATTATTCTACTTCTAAATGATTATTTGCTTATAGAATATAGTCATAAATTGAATCCTAGTACAAGTCAAGATAGTCAAATATAATCATTGCAAAGATGATGATGGTGTCTCCCACTTCATCCAAATATTCAATCTACTCCAAATTAAAAATAAAAAATAAAAATATTTCTTTTATTTTGATTTGGAAAATTTTGATTTAAATTTGATAATAAAATAACATACGATGAAATGTCTTATGAAAAAAAATAAATTCGATTTTAAAGGTTTTATTTACTGTTATTGTATTTAATATTAAAAATATTTTTATATTTGTATAATTTTTTACATAAATACCACTATAATAGTATTATAAGATACTAATATTAATATTTTTGTCATTTTTTCTGAATTTGTACTATATTTTCATATAATAATTAATATTCAAAGAGAACTATGCAAAAATAAATGAGATCCTTAAAATTGAACGGAAGTAGTATATTTTCTTGAAAAGTACGAATCTAAATAATAAAAATTTGAAATTTAGATATTAAAGTTATATTTACGGGTGTGATTGGTTTTAATCCAAATTAAAATTAATTCTATTCACATTCTATGTATTATTAATAAAAAAAATATAGGTCTATTAATTTTATATCTAAATATTACAAATATTTATTTTAAATTTTTTAAAAAATACTTTATTCTATCAATTTTTATTGTTCTAAAGTATATTTACAAGATTTTTAAATAATTATTTTTTTATTATAAATTAAAAAATTTACCTTTTATATATTTGCAATTATTTTAGCTTTTAAAATAAAATTTATATTATATTCCAACTAAAAATGATAAAAACGATAAAAAAAAAAAGACAATTAAAACTAAACTAAGCGAGATTATTGAAATTTGTATACTCTTTATGTATCAATACAATAATTTTGTTTACTATTTTTATTTATTTTAAAATAATAATCTTATTTTCATAAATATTCATATCACCGTAAAATTATTTTTACTTTTTTATTATTATTACACAAATACAATTATTTTTTACCCTAATACACTTACAATGGTAAAAAGGTATTTTACCCATATTTTTTTAACCATTATTAATATAATATTATTATTCCTTAAATCTTATATTCAACACAAATATGACTATAGTTATGAGAAAATAGAGAATATAATTTATTTGTTAGCTTTGAACTTGATTTTTACTATTCATAAAATTTCATCGTTCTCTTATTAAAAAAAACATTAAATTAAATATATATTTATTATATATTACATTAAAAATTAATTTTATATTAAAAAAATTATATCAATATATATTTATATTACATTAATAATTATTTAAATTTAAATTTTATTACTATTCTCAAAGCCAAACCTCCAACCAGGCAAAGTTCATACTAAATCAACGTACTTCCTCCATTTCATATTTATATATCCATTATTTTTTTTACAAAGTTTTAGAAATATTAGT